CCCCAAAACCCCAAAACCCCAAAACCCCTATTTTGTTCTTTGAAATTGAATATTTTCAGAGGAGTAATCGAGTTAATCAAACTCGATTCAATTACACTTAAGAAAGTCATCAGGAAATTTGTGTTTGTAGTGAAGACACATCTCACATCTACTGATCTGCTCTACAAATGTGAGGGAAAGTGCCTACCTTTGCACGAATCAATGTAACTCTGGATACTTCTGTAATGGCTAGTATCATTCAGCTCTTCTCTTGAGTTCAGCACTAGCTTTCCATATTTGAGTTTAGATTTTAGTGTGATGACCTTTGCTGAGCAATACCTACACTTATTCAAAGATTTGAAGCTTTTGTAGCTGAGCTTTTTGCAGTGAGGGCACCAGAGTATAACTCTTCTCTTCTTCTCAAATTCTTCAATGAAGATGCAAGAGTCATAGAAGGCAAGCTGCTCTTCGTTTCAGGCTTTCTTGATATCTTCTCTGATGATATTGTTCCTAAAATTTTGAGCTTTTGAGTAAGTATTAAGGGGTCATACCTGTGGTTGAGGATAGGGCATCTCAAAATTTCACTGGGATTGAACAAAGTTGTCTTTATGAGAGTTCTGAGACAATCATGGTGCACGTCATCTTTGCATTCAGAGAGCTGGATCATATCATTCCCATTTTTATTACACAAAATTCATCTTTTCACTAAAAGAGGCTCTGATGAACTAGCCACATGAGCTTCTCCAAGAATTTCCAAAGGCCGATGAGTCGAGCTTACTGTCTGAGGTGCTGCGACTGATTCTTCTTGGGTGGGATTGACACACTGAGAATTTCCAGCAATTTTAGTATCCTTATCTAACTCATCTTGATCCTTTGATGCAGGTATATTTTCACTCTGAGTTGGATTATCTGAATCACTTGACTCTATTATCTGAGATTTTTGTTTTAAACCTTCTTGTTTCTCCTCTTTAGAATCCTGTTTCTCAGTGAGGGACTCTTCAGTTTTAGCTTTCTTGAAATCTGAGCTATTTCAAAGCTTTGCGCTCTCATTTCTCAAAACTGCTGATTTCTATATTCTGGGCAATTTTATTTAATTCTTTTCTCATCTCTCTTGCAAAGGCTGAATTCTTCTCTGTTCCTTTTGAGCATACGAATGTGGGAGAAATAAAACAGAATTCTTTTCTCAGACTCTATATCCATAGAGTCTGCAGTCTCTTGCCAGTCCTTGAATCAACAGAGAGTGGTATCTACATCTCAGTTCCGTGTGAACAGGAGGCTGCCTAGGATTATTCCGTCTAAAAACCTGATGCTTTCTAGATATAGGTCAGATCAATTCAAGTCTTCATGAGGGAGCATGTAGCTTACCTTGGTCGAATACATTCATGAATATGTTGTAAATATACATAAACTCTTCTTTACTAAAATCTGAATCTTCCATGTGCAAATAAATTTTAATTATGCTCTTCTCAATACTGAATACTTATTAAGGGGTTTTGGGGTTTTGGGGTTTTGGGGTTTTGGGG